ACAAATTCAACTTGTTTACTCTGATTCATACCTGATTTTGCGATGCTGAACAACTCTGAATTTATTCTGTCTGATATGAATCGCAGAGTCATCGAATGGGGAGAAGATTCACATTTCTGTCTATACAAGTTGGCACTAATTAACGATCGCATTTTCCAAAAATTTTGTAAGTAAGCTGAGTAGTTTATTCTGATAATGGATCAAAAAAAAGAAATTTGACATGATATATTCAGGAGTATTGTATGACAAAATGGACAAAGAAAACATTCATGTTTGTAGGAATAACATGTGAAATCAGGAATAATAGAATCAAATGACAAAAGCTACACATTGTGTTTAGTTTTTCAATAGATGAATAGTGTTCAATGCGGCTCAAAGTACAATATCATTTAATCATTCACCACTAACTAATACTTCTGTATATCCTGATACCGATGCAGCATAACTCAGTCGTTCACTAACCATAGTATCAGTAGTCGTCCAAGTTCCTGTTGATGGATTGTATAACTCAGCGGTGCTTAAAACGACACTTCCGGTTGACAGTATTTTACCGGTTACTCCACCAGCAACTAATACTTTTCCATTTTTTAATAAGATTGCTGTGTGTTTCTGTCGTCGATAGTTCATGCTAACAGCAGTTGTCCAAATTCCACTTGATGGATCGTATAACTCAGCACTGTTTTCAGCTTTATTGCTGTCAATTGTTGCTCCACCAGTAACTAAAACTTTTCCATTTTCTAATAAGGTTGCTGTGTGATCCTGTCGTCGATAGTTCATACTACCAGTAGTTGTCCAAATTCCACTTGATGGATTGTATAACTCAGCACTTTTCAAAATCATAACACCGTTCCATCCACCAGTAATTAAAACTTTTCCATTTTTTAATAATGTTGCTGTGTGAACTCGTCGACCAATGTCCATACTGCCAGTCAATGTCCAAGTTCCTGTTGATGGATTGTATAACTCAACGTTATTGAAAAAAATCTGACTGCTCCATCCACCAACAACTAATACTTGTCCATCAGTTAATAAGGATGCTGTGTGACCTTCTCGTGGATGAATCATGCTACCAGTAGCTGTCCAATTTCCTCTCGATGGATTGTACAACTCAGCAATGCCTTCACCTTCCACGCTCAAAGGTTTGTATCCACCACTTACTAGCACTTGTCCATTTGCTAATAAACATGCTGTGTAAAAATTTCTTATTTGAGTCATACTGCTAGTAGTTATCCAAGTTCCTGTGGATGGATCGTATAGATCACCCTTACCTTCTTGAAAACTACTACCTATTCCCTCAATAGCTAACACTTTCCCATTTGTTAATAAGAACGCTTTTGCCACCCGTTGACCATAGCTCATACTACCAGTTAATATCCAAGTTCCTGTCGATGGATCGTACAATTCAGCACTCCTTTCGACATCAAGACCATTATTATTCCATCCTCCAGCAATTAATACTTGTCCATTTGTTAATAAGGATGCTGCAAACCCCATTCGTCGATAATTCATGTTGCCAACATTGATCCATCCTAAATGAAAGCATTTACATGTATTCAATCTGTATAGAATATATATGGTTGAAATCTGCATGATGATCTAATTATGTACTGAACTGTTAGTAACTGATGGAACTAAAATAATACCTCACTAATAGAAAAACATATTTTCAAAGTTTCTGATAATTGAAAACAGTCTGAGGTTCATTCAAATAAATCACTCATGGTATAATTCCATCATTAGTATCACAAATGTGGTATAGAATCCTACCCATGTATCATATATACATTAGAATCGTATTTTCTACCTATTGTACATATCATATTCACAGAAATAACAGGTTTTCGATCATGGTTCTAACTCTCTAGTATATGTTCGAAGTAGATTAATGCTCTATCGAAACTTTCGGTTCAAGTTTTCCGTATTGATATTCATATAAAATAAAAGTCTGCTTTTTTAAAATTCTCGTGCCACGAGTAGCATTAAAAACAATGGAATGCCATCGAGAAGACTGATTTAATCTTTATAAGAAACGCTATAATCCGTGTCCTCTCATTTGCAAACATAAAATGGAAATTTAAAATCTCCTAAATGCCATTACATATGTTTCTTAACCCTTTGAGTACGGGCGACGAGAATTCTCGTCCTGATATTTCAGGACTTAAATAGTTTTACAAGATACGGTTTGTTGATTATTTAATCATACGAGTTGCATGGAAATTTTTGTTTAGAGTATTTGTGCGTTAAGATTATCTATACTGATGCGATGATTATGGATTGTCCCTTTTTTCTTTGAATCCGGGATTATTTTTATATAGTAAATTACACAAGAGAGACTGCTGTTAGATAAACCGGTCCTATAAAAGTTTTCCATTCATACCCCAGCTATATTTTGCCAAATGAAAAAGTTTGATAAGTTGAGCACTTTTTGTGACGGACCTTGATCTTTTAAATGAGACTATGAAGAAATCTGAGAGAGACAACGATTTAAATGACTGAAATTTTACAAGTTAATCTATCCAGAACTCTTCATGGTTTAATTTAAAAGATTAGATTCCATCACAAAAGGTACCCAACTCACTGACGTTTTTCGTTTCGTATAATATAGTTAGGGTTTCGAATCAAAAATTTTTATCGGGCCTCTTTCTCTATCAATCATCTTTCGTCCTTTTTACTATAGAAAAATAATCCCGTACTCAAAGGGTTAATTTAACGGATTTCAATTAGAAATGATCTTAAGTCTCAAATTTTCGGTTGCCAATTGCCAAAACAGTTACTTATAATAATTTTAATAAAACCTAAGTTTTCACCTGTATTTTAAAACTTATTGACATTGATAGAGTTTCTTAAAGATTAGGCTTCATCGTTTCAATTTAATGAGCAGCAGTTTGTAGAATGCGCTAAAAAAATAGTAGTGCTCTTTTACATCTTAATTAACTGAAATGTATAAAGTTCGTCAGACATAATTGTTACTATGAACGCCATCAACTGTTTTTGATTTTTAATAGACCATACAATTATGATTGTAAAATGGAATCAAACATCGAATGGAGATAACTGATTGGCATGCAAAAGCTTATATACACAAAAGTACAAAATACGAAAAAATGATTTCTAAATAGAACATCTTAGAAGCATAGATGTTAGTGAGCATCTTCTCATAACCAACACAGCTCGATCAGCCCACACCACATTCGAAATCAATATCAAATTATAACAATAAGTTAAGACACAATCTTCTTAAAAATTTCCTCTGCCTTTAACCGAAACTATTCTTAGTTGAGCTCATATCGTTGATCCCTGCAGGTGCACTATAAGTATTAGTTTATCAATAATAAAAGAAAAAAACAGCTAGTTCATTCTATTTTTGTCTTCCATTAAAATTCTTTGCAGCTAGGTTTCAATGAAAATCTTAACTCAACGTAAATCTATCGTTCTCTACAAATTACAGCATACTTAGCAAAAATAAGTGTGGAAACCTCGGATTTAAATCTGAGAGTTAGGTGTACTTCAAAAAGTGAATAAGACAGATGAGTCATCCTAGAATGTGTGGGCATAAAAATTATCCTGGCAAACCTTTTCTATTAGGTTGGCAACAAGTTTTTGCGTTTTTTTCTTAATCCTCTAAAATATCCGCACGCTTTCAGAAGCTTTCATACTTTGGGTATATATATATGGGGCACGAATATCGTGCGAACAACAACAAAACCACGAGTAAAGAAGCTAGTTTCGAATTAGAAATGAAGATTACTCGTCGGGAGCTCCGAGTGCTTTTACTTCACAAATTCCATTTTGGGCAGTGCAATAACAGGAGCAGCAAGCACTATATGCAGCACGACGGACAACGATGTACTCTACATTTGTACAGCGCAACATTGACTCAATCCATTTAAGAATGGGAACTTCGAACTTGACAATTTATAGAGCTTATTGAGTTATTAACTGATATAATAATCATACGGGCCAACAACGCGGCTTTACAGTAAATTTCTTATAATCAAAGTTTCTATTAACCTGTCCATACTCTATAATGGTCCTATAGGGACCCCTATAGGATCCTGTAAGCCCTTATAAGCCCTATAAGCCCCTATAAGCTCCTACAGGGGTTCTTGATTGAGCCGATGTTGCGCTGTACAAATGGAGAGTACATCGTTGTCCATCGTGCTGCATATGGTGCTTGCTGCTCCTGTTATTGTACTGCCCAAAATGAAATTTGTGAAGTAAATGCACTCGGAGCTCCCTACGAGTAATCTCCATTTCTAATTCGAAACTAGCTTCTTTACTCGTGGTTTTGTTGTTGTTCGCAAGATATTCGTGCCCCCTACATATATACCCTAAGTATGAAAGCTTCTGAAAGCTTCGTTGATATTTTAGAGAATTAAGAAAAAACCGCAAAAACTTTGTTGCCAACCTAATATAAACACTTGATTTCTATTGACCACTGCTTAATCAATGGGATTTAGAGGCAAGTGGAGTACAGATTTGAGTTCTCCAACCCAGAAAACCTTGAAGTATCATCTCTGTGATCGCAAGATAGAGCTCTAATTGTGGATCAATTAGAGCGTGGACAAAAACAGAACTAATATCAGTTTAATTATCTTTGCAATAGGTGAGTTAGACTTCTTGTTCCTTTATAGTTTATATACCATTTTGTAGCTCGTGATATTCTCTATCGAATGATATATAATAATTGGGGTTTTATTTGACTATAATAGGAAAAGTTTTTTACAAAAACGGAGATAGGTCGATCTTCGCATAGGGAAAAATGACTATTTTTGCAATAACTCAGCAATGGCTCGGTCAATCATTCTCATCTTCGAACTCGATCGAGATATTGTTGAGACAAAACTGTGTAGAAAATTTTATCGCAATCGGACTCTCCTTTCAAAAGTTATCGTGTAAATGGCCGGCCGCACACACTGACCGATTTTAGAGTGTGCTCGCTTTTTGAGTACACAAAAAAAAGTAAAGGCACTGAATGAGTATCAACAGAGGAATATTGGGAAATGCGCTCGCGAAACTATAAACGGAAAAAAACGAAACTGATTTTTCGGTTTTTTTGAAAATAGCTGATTTTTCGAATAGGGGTCGACAGAAATCTTCGAAAGGTTTTGGAAAAAAAGAGGTATTAAGTAAAAATTTTTGTCGTTTATGAAAGATCTGAAGACGGGCTATCTTCTCCTGCATTTACCTCAATTTCGATGAAAGATAATTGACTTTCAATATTTGCGGTAATGCGGTCATATGAAGTGAACCAAACTTTTGTGAACCAAAGTGCGCTACTATCAACGCGAAAGATTTTAAAACACGTCGACAGTAGCGCACTTTGGTTCACAAAAGTTTGGCTCACTTCCCATGACCCGGTAATGCAATTTTTAAAAGTTAAATATAAATTTGAATCGCTTTATAAAAATATTAATAATATTTTCAAACCTATATCAAACGACTTTTCAAAAATTTGAATTTACTTAAATTGATGTTCTTTATGTTCGCAAATGACAGGTAGCCCCATATTGTTTAATGTAAAAATTCCTCAAATAAAAAACCATCGTAAATATTGATTTTTCTCGCTTCTAAAACACAACACTTTTGTAGCGCAGCTTTTTCTAAGAAATGTCGTAACTATGTAATTAAAAAATATATTTCCGTATCGGCATGGCCGCGCATCGGTCACCCTACCATGAGGAAGGTTTATACGCACTAAAAATAAAGAAAACTCTCTCGAAATCCAAAATTTCACTACTAACAGATTATGAAACACGTTGCAACTTCTGAGATACGTTGTTTATTGGTTATATAAACCGTATTTTTTCTCCAATAAGTGTCTGAAAACGGATTTTTTGACGAATTTCACCAAAAAACTATCCGTTCTGAGTCCCATTATATTTCATTTTTTGTGAAAAAAACAGGCAGAGTTTTAATGTCATTCTGCTTTGAACGTGAAGCTGATATTCTCGCGCGATAGAACTACCCATGGTGTAAATTTCTGCGAAAAAAACGCGTTCTGAAAACGCATTTTTCCATAGCTGCGAAACGCGTTAATGCTGACCGGTTTGACGCGTTTCACATCTGCTAAAACAAACGCTGTGTAACGATTGTTTTTGTGAAAAATTTCGCAGCGTTTCTCAAACTGTGGTGTCGTAAATTCTAGATGGAAAAAAAATTGAAAATCGTCAATGACTTCATAGATCTTGAATTGCAGGTACAATTTATGTATTCGTTTACATTTTTTCATGGGCCTTTAGAACTATAACTTACATGAATTTTGATGCAGTCAAGACACGGATTCGAACACGAGAACATAGGAGTATAAGACATGTATACAAACCGTTCAACTAAAATAATCTAATGATATAAGTGTTTATTCTACTGTCATCTAGAGTCCCGCGTAAATTTACTATATTAGATTTTCAGTTTGCATTCCACTGAATTAAAAATTATCATTTCTTTGGTGCCTATGTCCAATTACAAGTGTGGTCTTTTCTTGATACATTTTTTATTTAAACTCTTTCAGATTCAAATTTAGATACACAATAGAAACGAATGTAATCGATTTACACTGTATTTAATATATAAAAAATTAAATTTCTTATATATAAATTTTAAAAAATTTAAAAGTTAATCTTTTATTTATTTTTTTGATTAATATATTTTTGTAAACATAAATCCGTCATCGTTTTATCCAATACATCAATAAATGAAAGGAGTTTTCTTTTGTAAATCGAATCTCTTTTATTAAAAAGTCACTGTTTCTTCAACAATGTACAAACTAAAATCATGTTTACTAGTATTGTATACAGTATCATTAGTTATTATCAATTAGTTCGAGTATGAACTCAAACTAATATTTATTCAAATTATAGATAACGCGATAATTCTTTTGTTCACAAATAACCAAAGAGAGTTACTATACTAATTATATTAGTATCAGTCTTTACTAAATCTCTTCGAAATGCTCAATACTTAAAATGACCTGTCCACGTAAAACGTGATTCCGTCATGCTTTATTTGTTTTATTTCATACAAATGACTCGATCTCTAGAATCCAATGCATTTGCAATCTTGGACAAAAAATTGTGCTTGTCAAAATGAGACACTGCAAATTTGTCTGTAACTTCTCATTCATTACAAACGAGCGTGACGGAATCATCTTCCTCCGTGGACAAGTCGAAAACAATTCTTAAGTAAACCTTACGAAACACGTTTTCTTTCAATAAAAACGTGGTGAAATGAGTTTTTAAGTAAGAAGAACATATTTTTTGTTACACTTTGATGTTTTACATTAGTCTAACTTCGAATTAGGCCTAGATAACAGCCTAGCAGCCTAAAAATTTCCAAGACTTTGATTTTAGTCTTGCCTTCATAAAATCCTGGGTCATGATTTTCAAGTACAAAAATAGTGCAAGGAGCAAAACTTTCAAGTGCTATTTCATATCATTTCCAAAGTAATTTTAAAGAATTTACTTTGCTTAACTCCTATGCTTTGTGTTGCTGAATTTTTGCCAGATTCTGTATGCAGAATGAATATATTTTGCATCATTTCAAGCAAAAACAATGCAACACACATTTGAAAAAGAAACGCGTTTTACGTTTCACCCAATTTGTATCTGTGGAACGCGTCGCCTGTCGACCAAAGTGCGTTCGACAGCATTTTAATTCGGAAACGCCTCGAAACGCAATCTTGAAAAAAGCGTTTCGGATCGTTTCAAAAAACGACTGTGGCAAAACGCATTTAATGTAAGTAAGAAGGCTGCGAAATGCGTCCTATATTGCAAAAACGTTGCGAAACGCATGCTACAACCTCGGAAACGCGTTACGCAGTCTGTTTCCTTCAATATTTTACTCCATGGGTATCTCTGTACTATTCGCGGATACGAGAAATGATGGGTTTTCATCATGATAATTAAAAGCTGTAAGGTCCCTAACCGTCCACATTAGAAAGTCAAAAAATAATGAAATTCCGTAACAAAGTGAAATTCCGTAACGGACAGTATTTACAGTTATTTAATTTGGTACAGTTATACTTTCTAGGAAATGAATTGATATTTTGAAAGCTCATGGGAAACTGAATAACTTTTATATAGAGCATTTATTTTGTATGTCGTTTCGTTACGTAGTAAAATGCTTAACTTCTGCATCACCCTAAAAAAAAATTCCATTTTATGAAATTCCGTAACGGTCAGTATTTGTTGAATAACTCAACTATGACTAGACAGAAATAGATAAAATTTTTACTGATAATAGATCTCAGCCATCTCTATCTATGATAAAAATTTTAGCAACTTTGCCTTGATTTTTGAGAAGCTACAGGTGTCACAATATGAAAAAATGAAATTCCATAACGCGCGGCCACGCCCGTATGTAATTGTGATATCGCTCTACACAATGGTCATATTGACTTCGAGTAATTGAACAGTTCAACTTCTTCTTGCACGAAGAGGTTCCGTTATGCGGAGAGACTGAAGAAAGAAAAGTGATTTAAATTAAAGGAAAACCCATACTAATTGTCGTGATCATCGAAAACCATTGAAAAGAAATAAGAATTCTCCGAAGCTAACGATATATCTTAAGTGACTTTCACCGCTTTTTGCACATTCAATGCTTTTGACTGAGATTTGATAAATTACTGATTCTAGATAACTTTAATGTGATCGCTAATTAGGTTCACAGTATTATTAGACGGATAATAACTACATCTTACCTGACTGCTGGTTAGTAGTGGTAACCGTAACTAAAGATGTATTTGTTGTTGTTATTATAGGTGTATGTGTCATTGATGATGATGATGATGTTGATGATGATGATGATGATGATGATGATGTTGATGATGATGATGATGATGTTGATGATGATGATGATGATGATGATGATGTGGTAATGTTACTCTTCTGTGGTGCAAGTATAACAAATTTTAATACCATAGAAAGTGTAACTGCTAATATTATTACGACAATAAACAAGATGCAAATGATCTTAAACCAGCGATGACGCCATAATTTGCGTAGCCCATTACTTTTAGGAGCATGCTCGTTGTCCATTATATTTTTTCTTATTTTATGTTCTACAAGAAACTTATGCTGATAAAAGAATTGTCTATTGTTCGAGAAGATTTTCTATTTGCTGATCACTCTTACATGAATAGCGAAAGATACATCATTCTTAGATATTCATTGATACCAAAACTCTGGTTTTCAGATTTGCGATCAGTGTCTCCTATTGTATTTGAGTAATCTTCAATATCATAAAATACTCTAATTCGTCCACTAAACTCAATATGATAGCAGTCGGAGCCATAAGTTAACATTAGAGGTCGTATATGATTGTTATTCTATAAAAAGTAACTGTAATGAGGTAGCAGAAATTGTCCGACTTTGTCAAATAAAATTTTATTTCTTGACAGTAACAACTTGTTATCAAGTTTGAGAATATATTTTTTTTATAAAAAAAATGTAGTTGACAAAAACTTCTTTTAATGAGAAGTAGAACTTATAATTTGGAAAAACTGATCTTAATTTCAGATACCTCGATTCTGACACCCTCTAATTTCATCTTTATAATACATCATTAGTTGTGAATAATAGTATTTCGTTTGCAAAGTTCTGAAAAATTCCACTACTCCGCTACAACTACTTTGTACAGTAATGTTAAGTTACGATCTGTAATGTTAACTTCGACTCTCTACTACTATTATACTGAATTGAATAAACAAACTAGAGTACTTGATGATAATAATGGTTACTCGAATACAATAGGTAGATCCAATTCTCAATTCAATCCAAACTCAAAAACTCGAAAGTTGTGAGTTGATTTTGTTATGAGTATATGCCTGATTATCTTATATTCTGCACTAAAGACATTACTACATTCTTTTTTTTAAAGTCTAACTGAAGATAGTCCCTACGTCCATACTAATAACTTCGCCAGTACATTAAATTTTATCATAAGTGCTTCATTAGATAGAAAACAGCAATTAGCTATAATCTTTATGGCTCTGCTAATAATTGGGAAAGGTCTATTGAGATAGAGAAGACAATGGAAGAATTATTTCATTAACACATAAGATAATTGGAGCTAGAGATATAGATGAAGGACAAACAGCTAAAACCTGTAAGATCATTCCGATATTTGGAAGTTCTATGGACGGATAGATTCTTTCTCACAGCAACTGTCGAACATTATATAGAGAAGATTTGAAGTTCATTTACTAAATTCAAATGACTGAACAGAAATAAAATGATTTCGACGAACGTTTTGAACCGATACTTCTTGGCATACTGCTTTCTCTTTTCTTGTTTCTGCTACATATACTAAAGTATATATGCAAGAACGTATTAATAAAGTATCGCATTCTGAAGTAGACGAATCGGTATTTTTTTGACAATGCTTTCTAATGAAGTGTCTTAATAAAAAAGACAAAAAAACAAAATAGACATTTTAGTTAACACGAATAAAATTGAGGATATTTCTCTAGGATATGTACAGGGTGAACACAAATCATTTCCAACCAGTTGATTCTAACTTATTGAAAATAATTTATAATAAGAAAATAGATTAGATTAGCATGGAAGATCCTTCTTCCTGTTACCATGTTATTTTAAGTGTCGATGGGCATAGGAATATAAATCTGGATGAATCCGTCACGTTTCTACCATTTTGTGGAAATTTGTTCTTTTTATTTTTATTTTTATTTTTTTCGATTTTGATAGTCTAGTTAGACGTATCATCGTTGAAAACGGTTGGAGGTAATAATTAAAATCTTTTTCGACATATAAAATATGGAGATCTATATCATTTTTTAGGAACAACTCAACAAATTCAACAAATTTACAAATAAATCAAGTAATTTTCACTGTGAAAATCACTTGGTTTGTATGTGAATTTGCTGAGTTGTTCCTAAAAAATGATATACCCAAGTGAATGAATCCGATACCGGATCCGATCGGATCTTATAAGATCCGACCATCCGACCAACTTCGACGGGATTCCGGGTCGTGGAACTATAGACGGATCCGACGGTAGGATCCGACAGATATCCAACGAAATCCAACTGTCGGAGCACCCAAAAGTTTTGTCTGTCGGATCTCGATAGTCGGGGTGGATGAATCCGATACTGAATCCGATAGGATCTCATCAGATCCTACCAGGCGGCAGAATCCGATGGGAATCCGAGTTGCAGAATCAGTAACGAATCCGACAGTTGGGTCCCGATCAATATTCGATGCTATCCAACTGTCGGAAGTGGTTAAAAATTTAGTTTTGAATTTCAGTACAATTTTCCTATAGGATGGGTGTGGGGGGTAAGGGTGCATATGGATATGGTTCGTCTCCTTAGATAGACCCACACCCACATCGGCACCCACACCCACAGTCACCCATACCCACATCCACATTCTGGGTGTGCCTGTGGAATGTGGGAGTAGGGTGTGGAGCGCGTGTAGATATGAGGAAAATATACACCCACAACTTAGGAGTACCTCCATAATATGGGACTTGAGGACCTAAAGATACTCCCATAATATTGGACTTGAGGATCTAGAGCTATCTCTGTAATGTATGACTTAAGGGCCTAACGGTACCCCCATAATATAGGACTTAAGAACCTAGGTGTACCTCCATAATATAGGACTTAAGAACCTAGGTGTACCTCCATAATATAGAACTTGAGAACCTAAGGGTACCATCATAATATGGGACTGGAGGACCTAAAGGTACCCCTATAGTATAGAAGTTGAGGACCTAAGGGTTCCCTCATAATATGGGACTTGAGGACATAAAAGTACCCCCTATAATATAGAACTTGAGGCCCTAAGAGTATCTCCATAATAAAGGACTTGACAAGCTAAGGGTACCCTCATAATATGGGACTGGAGGACCTAAAGGTACTCCCATAATATAGGACTTCAGGACCTAGGAGTACCTCTATAATATGGGACTTGAGGACCTAAGGGTACCCTCATAATATGAGACTTGGGGACCTAAAGGTACTCCCATAATATAGGACTTGAGGGCCTAAGGGTACCCTATAATATAGGACTTAATCGATTTCAATCGGCTTCTGATCTAATTGCACCATCTCCATTTTGAAACAATTTATATAGGAGTTCCAACTTTAGCTTGGTTGTCTGATTTAGCCCAGTGGTAAGTCAATAGTTTCTGAAGAAGAAAAATGATGGGAAAATCAGTGGTTTCTGGTTCGAATCCTACGAAAAGCGCTTATCTTCGATATGAAGTAGGTAATCGATTAAAATTGATTAAAAGGTAACGTTAGATGAAAACCAGTAACACGTAATAATGGATTAAAATCGATTAAGAGGTAGGTAATGTTGGATGGAAACGAGTAGTAACAGGTAGTAATCGATTAAAAGCGATTAAGAAGTAATGTTAGGTGGAAACGAATAACAGATAATAATGGATTAAAATTGATTTCCTCGAAATAGTTGATTTTAATCGATTTTTAATGGCAAAAAAATCGATTAAGATTTAATTTCTTTTGTGTTCTTTTTACATGGGAATGCTCGACCTGGGACGGCTTCAAACGGAGAACAACGGAAAAAATTGGATTCCAGCTGTAGTATGTTTCGGCTCCCAATACTGGGGTTCCGGACATCGGATCGTCTCCCTGTTCCGACGAAATTCCGATAGGGTACTGATGAAATCTTATAGGGTCCGATTGGAATCTTATCGGTTCCTATTGGAATTCGATGGGATCCTAGTGTCGGATTGATTCTCCTGGGTAGATCTCTATACTTTATATGTCAAAAAAGGTTTGAATTGTTATCTTCGACCGTTTTTGACGATGATACGTCTAACTAGACTATCAAAACCGAATAAAACGAAAATTTCCACAAAAGTGGTAGAAACCACACGGATTTACCCAGCTTACATTAAAACATCTCTAATTTAATGATCTTTTCATAAACGAATGTCTGCAGGGATGAGAGTGCGAATATAAAAGTAATTCAAACGTCGATTTAGTCTTTGCTCAACCATGAGGTGGGAAGTTACTGTTGAATGTAATTTTACATAAGCCACCAACATAACATTGCATTTTCAAATTCTTCTTTGTGCTATTTGCTTTATTGGTACAGTTCGCGAAGAATGGGCTGTGGGTTTGAGGTAAAATGACTTCAACATTCGCATCAACACCAACACTCTTCTTTCAGAGAAAATCTCAAATCAATTTTGAATTATTTATTTTCTAAAGAGTTCATTAATTATTCAATAAAACGTCCCTTTTTTTTGGAAATGGTCACTTGCTATCTATCTTCATCGAAATATTATTATTATCGGTGTTGACGAAAACATCTATTTTTTCTTCTAGAATAGATGTTAAGAAATATTTCTTTGAAAATGAGACAATGAACTAAAAATAGATTATTGTTCAACAATCGTGGTTTGCTAAGAATTCTTTTGCAAAGACTATGAAATGTCAGATTTCGTAGAATCATTTCGATTATTAAACGAAATTTCGTTAATTTTATTTCTGTGAGACAAAAATATTCGAAAGTCAATCTCAGCTTCTAAATGTGTATAAAAGTATATTCGAAAGAGAGAAATGTTCTTTGTTTTCATATATTAAATCTATCGAAGAAAATTAAATGGAATAAACTTTTCAAGGAAGATTTCTGTAACTAATACCTGTATCAATCTTTGTCAGGCTTGAGAACAAGTTTTCTTCAAACTTGTGAAATTCTAATATTATAAAAAAAAACTTCATAATCGATTAATTCAATTTTAGCAGAGAGATAATTTCCCTGGTTAAAATATAAAATGTCGACATAGCAGGCATTTTATCAAATGTCTCATATTCTTAATCATAAACAAATGTGTTCAAATCTGCTTTATATTCGTTATTAAAAAAAACTGTAAAGTAATGTTCAGAAAAACCAGCTTGAAAGTAAGTAACTAACCTTATTTTTAT